AAACTTCGATCATGAATTAAATATTAATGAAGGAAATATAGGTTTTCAATTTAGTATTCCTTTTGAATTGACTTCTATTGAGTTCCAAAATTTTACATTTTTCATAAAAATTCATAGTTTGCAAGTTTATCTTGGAATAATTCTAAGGGAATAACATTAAGATATCTTAGATAAATTTAAGATTATTAAAAGTCATTATCATTATTTAACAGATTAGAATTGAAAAATATGTTTTATTAATGGATTTGTTATCAATAATTTAAAGGTGCTGAATTATAAAAACAAAATGTTTTCTAATAAAATTTTAAACGAGAATAATTACCCAGCACTTTTAATGATAGTTATTTGATTCTTTTATTTATTTGATTTCAATACAATGTTTAAAATGGAATAAAAATCTATAAAAAAATGTTTAATCATTCAATAGAAAGAGAAATAAAAAATCCTATTTATATTTACCAGAAAATCACAACTTAAATATTGAGATCGATCCAAATACAAAAATTAAAGACTTATTATAATATATTAAGGAGTTTTTGGGGTTATTCCTTTAAATATATTAATAGATTATCTGATGATATTTCTAAATGGACATGTTATTCTACTAAAAAAAGCTAATATTTAGATTAAGAAAGTATTATAGAAAATAGTTAAAATCAAAATTTGATTATTGATACTTCTTCTGATGCCATATAGAAGATTTCAGGGAAGGACAATATAAAAAATAATGGAAATGGAAGTGCAACGAATATTAATTTGTAATTTTAAAATAATTAGACATAAATCAACTAAAATAAAATAAAGATTAATGTTTAATTAATAGATGGATAAATATAAAGATAATTTTCTGGTAATTTTTTCATGAGTGACACTCTTGAAACTATAGCTAATACTATTCTAGCTTATATAGGAATAACAAAGTATATTAAATAATTTAAAAATAAGCGAAATTGCCTCTTGTGATCTGACTATTTTCAATCAAAATTATAATAACCCTTCAAAACGTGAAAAAACACTACATTAGTTATCCATAAAAAATGATTTGACAATTGAAGCACGTTTAAGGTGGATTGGAGGACGTTGAAATGTAAAAAATAGATTTTATTTGTGAGATTATTAGTATTTTTGTATTCTTAACTAAAAGAGATAAAATCTAAGTTTTTTTCTTTTCTTCTATTTAAATTTCGAATAAAAAATAAATAATAAAAATGTAAAAAGAATCATTTAAAAAGCAATATTCAAAAGAATAAAGGCTTAAAGAAAGCGAGAATATTCTGAAACATTATTAAGATAGAGTTCCTATCATTATTGAAAAAGACAAAAATTCACGTCTTCCTGATTTAGATGTTTAGAAGTTTAATTTTAACTAATTTAGATACCTTTTTCTTTCAAACTTTCGAGTATTTTAATTGAATACTTTAATAAGAAGTAAATTAAATCTAAACAAAGCTGAAGCAGTTTACTTATTTGTAAATAGTAAAGTTGCATTGAGAGGAGGTATAATTAAATGTTATTAGATATGAGTATAAAAGAAGTTTACGATAAATACTAAGATGATGATAAATTCCTTTACATATAATATTGCGAATACAATACATTTGGGTTTTGAATTGAGAATTTAGATTTATGGAATATATATCAATTTTTAATTTCTAAACAAGTTTTTCTATANATAGAAAGAGAAATAAAAAATCCTATTTATATTTACCAGAAAATCACAACTTAAATATTGAGATCGATCCAAATACAAAAATTAAAGACTTATTATAATATATTAAGGAGTTTTTGGGGTTATTCCTTTAAATATATTAATAGATTATCTGATGATATTTCTAAATGGACATGTTATTCTACTAAAAAAAGCTAATATTTAGATTAAGAAAGTATTATAGAAAATAGTTAAAATCAAAATTTGATTATTGATACTTCTTCTGATGCCATATAGAAGATTTCAGGGAAGGACAATATAAAAAATAATGGAAATGGAAGTGCAACGAATATTAATTTGTAATTTTAAAATAATTAGACATAAATCAACTAAAATAAAATAAAGATTAATGTTTAATTAATAGATGGATAAATATAAAGATAATTTTCTGGTAATTTTTTCATGAGTGACACTCTTGAAACTATAGCTAATACTATTCTAGCTTATATAGGAATAACAAAGTATATTAAATAATTTAAAAATAAGCGAAATTGCCTCTTGTGATCTGACTATTTTCAATCAAAATTATAATAACCCTTCAAAACGTGAAAAAACACTACATTAGTTATCCATAAAAAATGATTTGACAATTGAAGCACGTTTAAGGTGGATTGGAGGACGTTGAAATGTAAAAAATAGATTTTATTTGTGAGATTATTAGTATTTTTGTATTCTTAACTAAAAGAGATAAAATCTAAGTTTTTTTCTTTTCTTCTATTTAAATTTCGAATAAAAAATAAATAATAAAAATGTAAAAAGAATCATTTAAAAAGCAATATTCAAAAGAATAAAGGCTTAAAGAAAGCGAGAATATTCTGAAACATTATTAAGATAGAGTTCCTATCATTATTGAAAAAGACAAAAATTCACGTCTTCCTGATTTAGATGTTTAGAAGTTTAATTTTAACTAATTTAGATACCTTTTTCTTTCAAACTTTCGAGTATTTTAATTGAATACTTTAATAAGAAGTAAATTAAATCTAAACAAAGCTGAAGCAGTTTACTTATTTGTAAATAGTAAAGTTGCATTGAGAGGAGGTATAATTAAATGTTATTAGATATGAGTATAAAAGAAGTTTACGATAAATACTAAGATGATGATAAATTCCTTTACATATAATATTGCGAATACAATACATTTGGGTTTTGAATTGAGAATTTAGATTTATGGAATATATATCAATTTTTAATTTCTAAACAAGTTTTTCTATATATAAGAAGAAGGCTTTAGATAATAATTTTTGTGGTTTATTGTTTAATAGTAAAAATGAAAAGGAAATAAAAGTAGCAACATAGAAGAAGCAATTTTTCTATAAAAAACAAAGATAATGATGAATGATATATACAATTAACATAAAATTTGATTAATTAATGGACCCAAAGTAGAGAAAAAAGTCTTAAGAAGAAATATAATAAATACCTTAAAGAAAAGGGTAAAGAATTGCAGGTCTTCAATAAACTTCAGGAGGAAATTAGATATATGAAATATATGTCTAATGTTAAAAATAACAACAATAATCAGATATAGTTTTTATAGTTTAGCGTTTAAAGCTGCACTTTGTTTTCAGTTTTTTAAACGAAGTTTAATTGTATAAGAATATATTACATAAAGGAATCAATTAGCTAGTTAGATGTTTTATTGTAAATTATTGAAAGGTTAATCTATAATTAAATAAGGAGATAATGCAAACGCATTCTTTATATTAGGTAAATAATGATTTTGAAATTTAGAAAAGGGAAGGATTTAAGTAACTATAAATGGAGAATCAAAGAAATAATTGGTATCAGGAGATGGTTTAGGTGAATTAGCCTTATTATATGATGCACCAAGGTTATAAAATTAATTTGAATTATTAGAAGTGCAACATGTATTGCATTAGAGGAATGTTATTTATGGGGAATAGATAGAACAACATTTCGTAGGACTGTTGAATCAATAATGAAAAGTGAATATGAAAGAAATAGAAAATATTTAGAAAATGCAACATTTTTTAGTAAATTAAAGAATAATATTAAAAGATCATTTAACTAAAGAATAAAAGGATGCTATAGGAGGGGTATTAATATCTTAGAAATTTTAAATAAATTAAATAATAGTTAATAAGGGTGATTAAGCAGATTCACTTTTTATAATAGCAGAGGTAAAGATTAATATACAAATAAGGGCAAAGTCGGTGTGTATAGTGATAATAATCTATTAATTAGAACATTAACAAGAGGTGAATATTTTGGAGAAAACGCATTATTATAGGATAATTGTGTTAGAGGGTTAACAGTAAAAGCAATTGAAGAATCAAGACTTTTAGCATTAGCAAGAGAAACATTAACTAAAATATTAGGTGATGGCGTTTAAATGATAATTTATAAGAATTAATGCAAATGGATATTACAATAATCAAAAATCAATTTAATTATATAAATAGATAAATTTTTGGATTTATTGACAATTAGAAAATTAAAGAAAGGAGCCATTGTTATAAATAAAGGTTAATAATATGGAGAATTAATAATATTAATTGATGGGAAAGTTAGTGATGTAATTTTATGAGTAGATCTCTAGTCTAATTAACATATTGTTTGCGAGAAGGGTAAGATACTATTGGATAAAACTGTAGATTCAAATGGAAATCATGATTAAGATTATATTATGTAAGAAGATGGAATAATAGCAGCTATTGACTATAATATAGTAAAATAATAGTTTGGTGAATAAGTAATCAATATTAATATATTAGTAATAAATTTTAGAAATTTATGCTTAAGAAGCTTAGAGTAAATAAAATAAAGCTAAAGATTATAAATTAGAAGATCTAAACTATTTACAAACCTTAGGTTGTGGATAATTTGGAATAGTGTATTTATGTTAATATAAGAATGAATAATCATTATTTGCATTAAAAATAATGACAAGAACAAATATTAAATAATTTGGAATAGCTAAACATGTAGCTAATGAAAGAAGAGTTTAATCTATTTTAGATCATCCTTTTATCATGCATTTTTTTAGATCCTTTAAAGATGATAATAATATTTATTTATTAAATGAATATATTCCAGGATTAGAATTATTTGATGCTATTAGAGAAATAGGATTATTGAATAAAAATGATTCATAATTTTATATATCTTAGATGATTTTGTAAACAGAATATTTACATATGGTTCATTAAATTATGTACAGAGATTATAAACCAGAAAATCTTATTGTAGATGATACAGGTTATTTAAAATTAATTGATTTTGGAACAGCTAAATTAAATTAACCAGGAGAGAAAACATTTACAATAATTGGAACACCACATTATATGGCACCAGAAGTAATTAGTGGTAAAGGATATAATTAAATGGCTGATTTATGGAGTATAGGAGTTATGCTTTTTGAATTTATTTGTGGTGGATTACCTTTTGGAGAAGATGCAGAAGATCCTTTTGAGATTTATAAATAAATCACAAAAAAACAATTATATTATCCTACTTATATGTCTGATAAGACTGCTAAACCTTTTATTGAATAATTATTAAATCGTTAACCAGAACTTCGTTTAGGAGGATCATATTAAATTCTTAAACAACATAATTGGTTTAAAGATTTTTCATGGGATAATTTAATAACTAAAAAAATCTAACCAGTTTTTAAACCAGCCATTAATAAAATTATTACTAATGGATAAGCTTAAATGATGAAAAAGATACCATTATATGAGTAAATGCTTAAAGATACCCAATATTTCAAAAAATCATAACCTAATCCCAAAGATAATGAATGGGATAATGAATTTTGAATAGCTCATATTATTAATTTGTTTTTAAAATTAACTCTTGATGATGCTATCTTATTTGGTTTTACTCCATAAATTTCATCATCATCTATATATTTCTTTCTTTAAATTCTTCTGTTTTATTGATTTTCTAAATTTGTTTTATAATTTCTAAGGTTTTATCTGTATTTAATTAATTAAATATCATTTTCAGCTTAACAAACATTTAAGTTTTATTTTTTTGCAAAATCCAAAATCAAATCATATTCTCCCTTTTTTTAACCGTAAACATCAGTATAAATATTATTTGATTATTTAATGTTTTCAATATATTTATTAAATTACTGTGAACCATCTAATATTAATTTTTCATTCACTTTTTAATGTTCTGAATTAACTCTTCTTTTTTTGTTTATTTTATCTTATAATATCATATTATATTTTACACTTCATCTATTCAATTTCTTTTATAGCCTTATCATCTAATGGATACTCTTTAAATTCAGAACATTAAGGTCTTTCTGCTCTTAATCTTCTCATTGCTTATACAGAATTCCATTTTGTTGATGCTAATGCTGATGCTGATAATCCACTATATAAAATATTAGACACTGCATATTTATTATTATGGATTTCCTATATTCCATCAAAAATAAACTAATCTTGATATTGTTTCAAAAAATGCTGTTTCATTCTTGATAAGTTACATATTATTTCTGTTCCTTTTGGATTCAAAAAACATTCATCCTAATAAATATTATGATTCTCTTAGTCTAATAAGGTACCAAATTATTCAGATAAAGAGAAATTCATTATTTTGCGAATATTTTTAGATAAATCTTGCTATTATTCTGATGAATCTTTTATTTTAACTCTCCTATTATTCTTATTTGAAATCTTCCTATATTTATTATTGTTCTCACATGTACTTTCAGATTAATTTCTTTACAACTCTTATTTCATTAACGTTTTATAAAAAAGAAATTATTAAATTAATAACAAATTATATTTTTATTTTTAAATTACTTAAAACTAAAAATCTCATCAAATGAAAATCTTATGATAGATATATTTTCAAATTATTATATTTTATATTGATTTGTTAATAATTTATAATAAAAGATCAAGTTTAATTTTTTTATAAATCAATACGAAATGTTATATCTCTTGGAGATCCTTGAATCACAATGTTTTAACTCCTCTAACTATAATTAAGAAAGGTATCACAGAATAGCTTTGGTGATTAAACAATTTAATTTATTTAATTAGACTAATTCTCTATTTTTGATTTCTTATAAATAACATTATAAAATATTACTAATATTTAAAATTTAATCTAAGATGTTAATTCTGAGATAATTATTTGCTACTTTCTAGGATATTTGAAATTTTCAATTATATAACAATCTTAAGATTTACTCTATGTAAAATCCAATAGTTTTTATTTAAACACATTAAAACTATCTTAAAAGAAAGCTAATTAATTTTTTTTTCTATTGCTAAAAAAGAGATGATCATAATGAATTGTAAATTTGGATATCATTTGAGTCTTAATAATTTATTAAATATTCCGCAGAGGTCTAAAAAAAATGGGAATGATAATTAAGGATAGCAACAATAAAATAACAGCTACAATAACACAGTAATACAAAAATTAAGTTATTTCAGACATAATGTTATCTTGCAATTCTTTAGCTCTGGTTACATCTGCAGTAATATGAGCCAAACTTTAAAATCTATTGTGTTAATAAAGATAGTTTACACAAGCAGATAAAATTGACTAGATATGTTTATCACAATTATAACTAGATCTTATTTAAAGAATGAATTGTATCTACAAAATTATTTAATATCTTTATCACTACATTCAACTATTCCTTAACCTTTTTAATTAGCCTCATTTACTATCTATTTCCAATCATTTTCATCAAATCCAGTTGTACCAATTTCATAGATGTATTTCTTCTCTTTTGATAAATCAATATTTTGTTCAATCATTAAATTTGATAATAACATTCTACCTTACAAATCAACCAAAATAATATTTAAATCATCATATAATAATAGCTCTCTATAATGTTCTAATGTTTGATCTATACCAAATATTCCACGAAAATTCTCTAAATTATCAGTTAAACCTTTTGTTAAAGTAAATTCATATTTTTAAGTTTCAAAGTCTTGATAAATACTAGATATCACTATTATATCATTCTATTTTGTTTTCTCTATTTTCTAAATTTATTCCTAATACCATGGTCTTGCAGATGGCATGTAAAAATTAGGAACTATTTTTGGTGGAAGAATTGCAAAATATTCTTCATCTGAAATAAAAGTAAAAAACATTGTCTTTTGAAATTATGATATTGATATTGGCAAAAATATGGAATTTAATAAGGCTTGATATCCTACAATGTGATTTATTAATTATGCATCTGACTTTATTGAATTACTTTTTGTGAATTTGTAACAAAATAAAGGCATCTTTGAATAAAAATTGAAATTTTACTCATCCTTTTAACACTCAAGCAATAAGTTAATTGAAGTGGTTTGGTCTTTTAAGATCAATTAATTCAATTTATTGAAGCTTTCGAGAAATTTGAATCCTTATTCTAAAGGGTAATGAGCTTAATATTTGATAAATTGAGATTAAATATTTATCTATTTTAAGTTAGTTTTTATTTCTATTTCTTTTGTTAGTTTTTAAATCATATCATCCATCATACTTTTGTTAATCATCTAGGAAGAAATTATGATTAAAAACACTAAAACAAAAATGAAAGACTGAAGTATAAATGTTTGAGTTTGCATCTTCATGTTTCTAATACATTAGAAATGGTGGATAAAACTATTAAATCTTGTAAGTTTTTGCATTAATTTGTTTAATTATCATTTTATAAAAATACTTAATATATTTAATTATAGGTTGTTAATTATTTAAATATTAGGAATTAAATAAGGATTTCCAAATCCATAATTATTATGCTTTCTTCTAATTATAATCATTTAGATACATATTTAGAAAATTAATAAATACTAAATTGATATTTAAAATAAAAACATCATATGAATCTTTATGCATTTGGCTCATTAATTAATTGTAAATTTTCATCCATTTCACTTTATAATGTTTAACTACTCTATATATGTATGTAAGAAAATAATGATTAACGCAATTCTTGGAATATAGGAATTTCTGATGAATGTTTTATATTATTCCATTCTTAAGATTCTTATATTTCTCTATTCTCATTTATATTAACGAATTTCACTTTATTTTTTATTTACATATATTCAATTGGTAGTGAATTCTTTGGATATTTAAAATTTTCTATCAAATGGCAATTCTCACATTTTTTAGATTTTATATCATTCATTTTAGTTTTTAAATTTTTCATAGCTTAATTAAGATACCAAATTTTATTTTCATCAAAAGAATTATATATCCCCATCAATTTATTCGAACTAGAAAACTTGTACCTTAATTAATTTAGAAATGCTAATCTAATTTGTTTTAAAGGCCGAAAAAAAAAATATAAACCTATCCAACTTAATATTAAGAGAATAGTTGATGCTATTACTAAACAAACTAAATAAGCCCTAAAGGAATCAATAATATTTTTCTTTCTCTATTATGCCTCCATTATATTTTGTTGTTGAATGGTCACATTTTGAAAACTATAATAGAAATACATCAAAATATACATAACTAAATAAAAGTCTTAATTAAGATTTAAAACATGTAAAATGATATCTTCATTATATATAGAATTGTATCTACATAAATGTTAAATTTAAAATGAACAATTATTAAAATAAGAATAATTCTTGGCTTAATTGCGAATTTGATCCCAATCTACTTTATTAAAACCTGTTACGTTTTATTGATATATGTATACTAAAAACTAATCTAATTTTATATTAGATGATTAGAAATAATTTGTATGAATTATTTATCCTAAAGGATTCAATAAGAAATAAATAAATGATTTAATATTTAGTTGATCCTCAAATTCCTTAAAATTTAAATCATAACCCATAATTCCATCAATTTTTTATTTTTCTTAAGAACACAAATCTTTTTATTGCAAAGAGTAAGTGATTGTGAAGGAGAGTTCATTTGTTCCAAATGATTCATAAATATTAGAAACGAAAAATTATCCACTTTATTTCTAAGTCTGTTCAATATGATTTATATACCATGGTCTATCATGAGGATAATATGATGGAAAATTAAAAAAAGGAGGACATGAAGCAAAAAATTAACTTGAATCTGTACTGCTCATATACAAATCAGTAATTGGAGACCATGTTAATGGTATAAGAAGCTGATTGAGGAAATTAATAAAAAGATTAAATTAATGTTTTTCTTTCTCCATTTACATATTTTAATTACTTACACAAAATTCAGGTAATCCAAATAAAATATTGAATTCTTATTTTAAATCTTCTATATAAATTGGGCATTCTAAAGGACTTTAGTTCTAAATTATTGAAGTTTGAAAATTTTAGTAGATTTAACCAAAAGCCTTCATCATTTAAAATCGTTTAGTTAGAGGCCAATTCATTTAATATTTGAGCATTTCAGTTTATAACTCATATGACTAAAAGTTTTATTTAAATAGTAATTTATCTGAAATTTCTGAGATTAAAGCATCCATCATTACTCGATTTACAGTAAGAACAATCAAGCATAAAGTAATGACAATACAAACAATTAGTAATTGTAATAATGATGTTGCTCTCTTCAAAGTCAAACATCTGATACAACTAAGTAACTTATACATCATTTTATATTAATATAGATTAATTAATTTATTTTTCAATTAACAATTTCCTTATTTGTTGAACTAATAGATTCCTAATTTAGATTTTTTCTAATTTTTCATGGCTAATCACTATAATTTATTATTAAACATAATTTCGATTGTCTTATAAATTATTTTAAACACTTTTATTAAGAAAAATTTCAAAATTTCTTTTTTCAATTTGCCATAAATGAAGTTTTAATTTAGATCACAAAATATATTTTTAAATATCAAAAAAAAATACTATGGATTTACATTCATAAAACATTATCTATTATTTCTATTAAAACAACATACTTGTTTTGATGGATTTCTCTGATTTTATAAAGAAAATCCCAACTTATTTTTCAAAATTGTATACAAAATTTTAAGATATCTAATTTTATTATGAATTAAATTGATTAATAAAGAATCACATAATTTATGATACCTTTCTAGTAGTTATTTCCATTTTTTAAATAATTACTTTAATGCTTTTATGATTAAATATCTCAACAATTATATTTTAAAAAAAATTATTGAAGATAAATAGTAGTTATATATCTCACATAATCTCATTTTAAAGTAATTATTATATATAAAAATTAAATTATATTTATTTACTTAAATCTTATAGGATTCTAAGATTGCACCATCAAAAGTGTTTGGATGATAAAATATTTCATTTTGATCTTTTTTTAAAGATGTAAGTTTATCATCCAAAATTTCATATGAACAGACTGCTTGGCTAATTGCTAATACTAATTATATTGGATCACTTTTTCGAATTTCTTTTTCAAATATATTTAAATTTTGTTTTTACCATCAAATGGTTATTTTAGTATTATAAATAACTTTATTAATAGTTGTAAATTCTGAAAGACATATTAAATAATCCCTTTTCATTATATAAACAAAATCTTATCCTCATATTTCTATAGATTTTTAACTCAAAACGAAATCACACACATACGATTTAGATCTTAAAAATAAATTATTTAATTCATTTTCTATTATATATAAATAGATTGAAATCATTCTAGTTTTTGTTTTATTAATCATCAAATTAATATAAAATTTTATAATATCAATTTTTACAATCTGTATATTCATATTATTTAATAAATAAAATTATATATTGATTTGTCTAATGTAGAAAGATTTTTACTAAACCTCATAGGNATTTTTTCTAATTTTTCATGGCTAATCACTATAATTTATTATTAAACATAATTTCGATTGTCTTATAAATTATTTTAAACACTTTTATTAAGAAAAATTTCAAAATTTCTTTTTTCAATTTGCCATAAATGAAGTTTTAATTTAGATCACAAAATATATTTTTAAATATCAAAAAAAAATACTATGGATTTACATTCATAAAACATTATCTATTATTTCTATTAAAACAACATACTTGTTTTGATGGATTTCTCTGATTTTATAAAGAAAATCCCAACTTATTTTTCAAAATTGTATACAAAATTTTAAGATATCTAATTTTATTATGAATTAAATTGATTAATAAAGAATCACATAATTTATGATACCTTTCTAGTAGTTATTTCCATTTTTTAAATAATTACTTTAATGCTTTTATGATTAAATATCTCAACAATTATATTTTAAAAAAAATTATTGAAGATAAATAGTAGTTATATATCTCACATAATCTCATTTTAAAGTAATTATTATATATAAAAATTAAATTATATTTATTTACTTAAATCTTATAGGATTCTAAGATTGCACCATCAAAAGTGTTTGGATGATAAAATATTTCATTTTGATCTTTTTTTAAAGATGTAAGTTTATCATCCAAAATTTCATATGAACAGACTGCTTGGCTAATTGCTAATACTAATTATATTGGATCACTTTTTCGAATTTCTTTTTCAAATATATTTAAATTTTGTTTTTACCATCAAATGGTTATTTTAGTATTATAAATAACTTTATTAATAGTTGTAAATTCTGAAAGACATATTAAATAATCCCTTTTCATTATATAAACAAAATCTTATCCTCATATTTCTATAGATTTTTAACTCAAAACGAAATCACACACATACGATTTAGATCTTAAAAATAAATTATTTAATTCATTTTCTATTATATATAAATAGATTGAAATCATTCTAGTTTTTGTTTTATTAATCATCAAATTAATATAAAATTTTATAATATCAATTTTTACAATCTGTATATTCATATTATTTAATAAATAAAATTATATATTGATTTGTCTAATGTAGAAAGATTTTTACTAAACCTCATAGGATATTGTAATTTTTTGAGAAACTTAATCTTTAATTGAAATAATTTTCAATTATACTTGAATAGAAAAAACAACATAATTTTTAATTAAATCTTCAATATAGCTCAAATGGAATTCCAATTATTTGAATAATCAAATTTAAAAATGTCCAAGATAAAGAATTAAGCTATGATTTATACGTAAATCTATTTCAATTAGATTTATAGATTAAAAATCGATGAAAAACATTTTATAAAGGAAATTTGTAATTATTTAAATCTATTTAAAAAAAAATGATATTTCGATTTTGATTTTTTATTAGTATTTAGATAAAAAGAATGAAGAAATTCATCAAAGTGATTTGTTAGATAAGTATTTAATAATAATTACAATTTTTAAAGGAAAATGAAAAAAGATTTATTTCTTCTGTCTATTATTTTTACTCCTTCAAATCAACATTTATTACAGGTAATCATAATCTCAAATCTCTTTGCTTATTCATTTAATTTATTCATATAAATCAACTCTTTCTTGTAATCAATTGTATCCAAATAATTTATAAAATATTAAATTTCTTTGCATTAATTAATTGATAAAAGTTATGATTTCAAGAGAAGAGTTGATTTATATGAGTAAAGTATGTGAATAAGCGGAGAGATATGAGGATATGATTACCTATATAAGACAAATCGCTTTGATGGAATAAGAATTATCGGCAGAGGAAAGAAATCTGTTTATTTTTCCCTATTATTATTGTGTTGGTTGTCGAAAAACATAAATGAGATAGCTTCTGCATATAGAAAAAAGAGAATAATAGAAAGTAGTTTATATTTGATGATTAAGATGATGACTAACACATAATTATTGGTTATAAAAAAACTTAAAAGTAAAATAGTTACAGAATTAAATGACTTTTGTAATGACTTTTTAAGTATAGTTGATAATCAGCTGTCTAGATAAGATATATCAAATGAAACATATTGTGTATTTAGCAGATTCAAATATTTATACATGTAACATAAAATAGATTACTTGGAAGATGAAGAGGAAAAAACTATGGCAATAAAACTAACAAAGTTATAATATGAATAAACTTATGAAAAAGTAAGAAAACTACTAAAAGCAAGAAACTTATTAAGGCTCTAAATAGGTTTAGATTTCAGTAATTTTGTGTATGAGGTTTTAAATGATAATAAAAAGAGTTGTGAAATAAGCAATGAAGTAAATATTAAAATATTATGGAGATATTAATGGAGGCTAGGAATGATGTGAATATAGAGGAAGATTTAGGAGAGAAGAAATAGATTGAATCAGTTATAAGTCTGATTGAAGAGAATCAAAATTTGATAAATTAATAATTATGATATTATAAATTAAAAGATTATAGCATTAGTAATTATATATTGTATTGTAAATGAATTGAATAATTGGAGATAATTTGAATGAAATAATAATAATAATTAATGTTATCAAAAATAATCTTACTATTCTTAGTGATATCGATTAGTTGTGATACTGTATTAGATAAAGGGTGTTCTTGTAATGAAATTTAGAATGAGAATGATTGTAAAAGAATATAATGCAAATATGAGAATGGACAATGTAAAAATAGAGAACTAGAGACCTATTGTAAATTAGCAAGTACAATAGCAAAATGCCCAGTTGAAGGATGTGCCTTATATGAGAATATATGTTAAGCATTTGCTGGATGCACAGCATATTTGAGTAAGACATTTGAAAGTTGTAATAAAATATCTGATAAATGTACATCAGATGGAGAAAGATGTGTAGATTTATCTACTTGTGATACTTACTTGACTAAAATATCATGTTTTATAGATAATAGTGAAAATTATTGTTACTATGATGAAAGTGATGCAGCTAAACCTTAATGTAAGACTGTTACTTCTTGTAAGAATTTACCGACAACTTTAAAAACAGATCAAGAATGTAGATCAAAACTACAAACATGTACTGTTAATGAAAGTAATTAAGGATGTGTTGATTCAGGTAAGAGTTGTAGTGATTAAAAAACGAAATCTTAATGTGGAACAAATTTAGATTAAAGTATGAATTGTAAATGGAATGAAACGACGAGCTAATGTTATGATTATACTTGTGCTAATGGAAATGGTAAAACAGTGGATGATTGTTAGAAATACAAAGATAATTGTGTCTTAGCAGAAACATAAGATGGTATATCTAATACATGTAAAGATATTGAAGAATGTATTAATTACAAATTCTAAGAAACCTGTAAAATAGGATTATAAGGAAATTGTCTATGGTTAATTACTCAAGTTGATGGAAAAGATGTTGGAAAGTGTGTAGATTACAATTGCTCTTAAGCATCTGATGATTATACAAATGATTAATTATGTTTTAAGTTTCTATCTACTTGTACTATTGATGATGATAATCTTGGATGTAAAACTAAAGAAGCTCTATGTACTTCTTATCTTTAAGTCTCTTAATGTGTTTCAACTCTTACTTAAGAATAATGCTATTGGAATAAATCTAAATAATAATGTGTTTATTATGATTGTGCAAATGCTTAAGTTGATACTTATACAGCTGAAAATTGTAATAAATTTTTAAGTCTTTGCACTGCTAATACTGGATTAACTTCATGTGTTAAAAAACAATGTACTGAAGCTTTAACTACATAATTATGTACTAAATTAGGTTAATGTATTTGGTAAGATAATAAATGTGTTTAATATACATGTGCTAATGCTCCCACATCATTAACTACAAATGATGCATGCAATAAATATTTAGATAAATGTTATACTACTGGAGCAGGATGTTCATCTCATGGTACATGCACAGATATGAAAACAGAAACTGCTTGTACTATTGATTCATTAAAATAAAAATGTATCTGGCTAAGTTCTTCATGTAAAGTTAAAACTTGTTCAGATCTTACATACATTAGTCATTCAGAATGTAACACTCAATTAGATACTTGTACTTCTGATGGAACCAAATGTATTACATAAGCCACTCTATGCACTGATTATAAAATCTAACTCAGTTGTGTTGTATCTTTAGAAGGACCATGTTTATGGATTGATAGCAAATGTTTTCTTTTCCTAGGTTGCTCCACTTTACCTGGTACAACTCATGAATTTTGTAATCTAGCTAATAATAAATGTACAACTGATGGTACTCAATGTGTTCCAATAACAAGTTGTGCAAAAACTCTTTAAACAGGATGTTATATTGGTACAGATGGAGATTGTGTAAGAAATCTTGATAAAAATAATAATACAATATGTGAAAAATTTACTAAATGTTCATAGATGAATTTTACAACTCATTTTTAATGTAATCGAGAGAAATAGACATGCACAGTTAATACAGATAAGAAAAACTGCATGGATTTATCAAATTCTTGTGCATCATATACGATATAAGATAATTGTTAGATTACTTCAGATAAAAAATATTGTTAATGGGACACCACAACTTTGAAATGTAGAGATTAAAAATGCACAGATATAGTTAAGACAACTCATGGAGATTGTTAATTAGCCAATGTGAAATGTACAACAGATGCTAGTAAATGTATTGATATATTGAAATGTGAAGGATATACAATAAGTGATTTATGTAAATTTGGATCAGATGGTATTTGTATTTATGATACAATAAATAGTAAATGTAGATTAAAATAATGTAGTGATATTACAGATGTTAAATAATGTACAAGTTTAGCAAATTGTTTAGCAGATACATCAAATTGTGTAGCCAAAGCTGCTTGTTCTTCATATAAAACTGAGAATAGTTGTGGATTTGATGGAACAGATGGTGTTTGTACATGGAATAATAATACATGTTCAAAAATGACAAAATGTGAAGATGCTAATACTTTTGAAAAAGGATGCAAAAAAAAATCAGATATTTGTAAATGGACACCAAAACCAAGTAATGGTGGTGCAAGTTCATGTAAACCTTATACATGTCAAAGTAAAAATTCTGGTGGTTCTTGTCTTCCTTTGGTAGCTTTTAGTGAAACTGAATATGAAGTATGTGCTGAAATTTAGTTGACATGTTAATCAGCTTCGATTTCTGATTTAACTGAAGATACTTGTTTTATCAACAGTGCTAAGAATTATTATTGGGATAAGACTACGAATAAATGTTTGGCTTGCAATGGAACAACTGTCAATAATACTACAGTGATTGATAATAGCAATTCCTTAATGATAGGAACAATATACCTATTTATTGCTTTCCTTTAATATTGAAAAATTATTAGACATAATATATATTTATATTTTTTAATTTTAAAATAATTAACGATTTTGAAATGGGAGCATGTTCATCTAGTAAACCAATTCCTAAACAATCAAATTAAGCTAGTAATAGATAAGTATAAGAGGATCCAATCATTTCTGTTATTTATTATATTGCAGATGAACCAGTTTAAGTTGAAATCCAAAATTAATAAAAAGAAGATTTAAATTAAGAGAATCAATATTAGGATAATCAAGATTAAAATAATCAATAATCTGATATAGATCAATTAGAAATTAATGAAGAAGACAATAATAAATACATAGACGAAGAATTACTTTTAGATAACACTGATGATACAATTCAAAAACCTGCAGAAACATTCAATTTCATAAATACTGGATAAACTCTTATGTAACATAGAAATCAAAGTGATGTCAAGGTTTTGTAAAAGTAAAGAATCTTTTAGGGAGAAAAAGAAAATATGTTCTTATCTTGATATACAAAATTTTCACTTTAATTTATGGATAATTTATTTAATTATGTAATAATAAACAATCTAAGATATTGAAACCTAAGCCAATTAACTATTGGAAGGTGTTTATCAGAGAAAATCTGATACGATAACTTCTTACAGCAAACTAAAAAGACAAGAAGAAGTAATAATAAATAATCCCTTATATATATAAGGCATTAGATATAGGATTTGCATCTGTAGGGTTTCCAGATGAAAGTATGGATTCTGAATCTGTCTATGAAGTAAGAGATTAAATAAAATTAGATTTTACAACCTGGGTTTATCTTTGAGGTTATCGTAAGTAAGAAAAATATAGCCAAAGGAAGGTTAGATGTAATTTTATAGAAATTTCTTGCCTTCAGCGATAAATGTATCACTTCCCAACATCAAGTGAGATAAGCTGATTTTTCATAGTTTAAAAAATAAAAGCATTTACTCTCACAGTTAACATAAATCAATGTTATGAGAATTAAAGGAGTAATTTATGAATAAGATGTGGTAATACATATTATTATTCATTCAAAAGATTGAAGATTTCTCTATATTCACATATTACATAAATTATGAGAAAATTTAAGTGGGTGATCATTTAAATGCTGTTTTAATTGATAAAACAAAAATGACAATGTCTTTAAAAAATAAAAGTATTATGGGTGGCAAATAATGGAGTTTAAAGAGTCTATAGAATCCATCTCATTTTGATAATTGGCTTCATTTTAGATTGGGATATGCTAAATAAATTGGAGTGAATTTTTAATATTAGGTTATGAGTGAAGAAGAAAAGTAGAAAGCTTAAGATTAAATAAATGAAAATTTAAAATTTAAAGAAGAAACAGGAACATTAAAAATGGATTATTAAATTGAATAAGATGGATTCTTTCCAAATAAATAGAATTACGCATTTATGATGCAATCTCTTGGTTTATCTTAGAATACATCATTCACTAATAGAAATAATCTAAAACCATTTATGAAGATTAATTTAGATCATAGAAGGCGTTTATATTAAATTATTTATTTTTTCTAGACTTTCAAGTCTATCTGTCTAACCAGATGTCCAATAGATATATGTTCGCAAGTAGAAGAGTCAAAGTAATAATTGAAAAAAAATAATAAAATAATAAAAAATATAATTCATATATTTAAATTAATATTTTTTTATTAATTTATATTTCTTCCTAAATTTTAAAATTCATTTGCTTTAGATAAGAATCTTTAAACGCTTATTGAATCATTTTCAATCTATCTCATAAAACCTCAGGAGATAATTCTAGATATCCCAATCAGATCACCAGGAACCTAGACATTAAGTAACTTAATCCATAATCCTAAAAGATATAATCCAATTCCTACAATTAAGTAATAATTAGTCTAAATAATTTAATTAGTTCAACCCTCTTAAATGATGAATAAGACATTATATTTAAATTCTCACCTAATAACAAAAATCTATTGATAATTACTTTAGATCGACTACCGCTAAGAGATTAAAAAGATGATGAATTACCTCTGAATCCATATTTGTCACCAAATTATTCTTATTAACAATTAATGGAGAATTCAAGTACAATGAAGAATTTTTCGATAATTTTTTACTCTTTTGGAAAGTATATCCAAATTTTGTTAAATCATTTATTAATGAAGTATATATTTATATTATAATAGATGAGATTAAAAAAAGAAAAACCAAATGCATGAAAGATACATTATATTTTTCATATAATTTGGAAATAAATATGAAAATAAATGATATTATTTTATTTCTTTTTTCTTCTTTTAATTTATCTTGATCTAGTAATATCAATTAATCAAATTAGATTCTTTTTAAATATGCTAAGAAATTTTATAAAGAAAGTAGATTCTAATGAATTCAATATTTCACCAAAATAGAATTCATTAAGTATATTGCTTTTAGTTTTCATATCTTTTTACATTATAGGTGTCTTTTAAAGAAGTATTAAAATTAAATTGCTTTTTATACTGGTACTTAGACTGATGAAAGTTTTGAGCTTATATTAAATAATGAAAATACTATATACATTAAATGGGTCAATTTTGAAAAATAATACAGAAGTTAATAAGTACTTAATATGTATATTCAGATATTTAGTTTCTTTACTTTATCTGTATAATATGTATAACAACAAAGAGTAGAAGGTAATATAGGATTTACACGAAATTAAAGTCAATTAAATTAAGCAAAATGTTCTAAAGAGGTGATCTCGAAATTCAATTTCAATTCAGCTTCAATGACTTAAGAATAGTAATAACATTTAATTTGTTTCAATGGAGATTTACTTTATTAGGTCAGTTTTATGAACCTTATTTTGCTTATATCAAATTGAATGTGAATGTATGTAATAATAGTTCAAGTTATTCATGTAAATCAACTTAGGAAATTGAAAGGTATATAAACTAAGGGTAA